CCAGACAGGCAGTGTCTCCTCCATTTCTCTGCAGCAGAAATGGTCGACGCCTAGAAACTCTGCAGAACGCTTTTGAGGATCGTTTTGTGGAGACAATCTCACTCTTGAGATGCGAATTTGCAATCTTTTCTTGCTGACACAGACAACACCAGTGGTGTGGATCCTGTCGAAGTTACTGACAAAGGAAATGATGCAATGTGAATTCAACCCAAAGAGGTTTATGGAATTCTGACCCAGGTCTACCCTTGCCAGACGATAGTAATTGCAGAAGCTTAGGCTTCATGTGATATCTTGATGAGTTTTCAACACATTTCCATTGCATTAAAAAATCAAATCGATTAGCTATCATACATATGCGTGTGTTTTCACACCAAAGACCTCTCAGCAATCCTCAGCATTGTAATCTCTACGTGAGAACCAGAGTGTGAATGTAGTAATGTGGGTGTATTCTTCTAGAAAGACGTCTACAGTTTTTATCAGTTTCTTAAAGAGGTTCTTGACTAACGAGGACAGGAACCAGCAAATTAAACTTTGACTACGGCGTCTTCCAGCCCTAAAATTACAGAAATCACAAAGTCTAATGCCAAACTGGTCATGTTATTAAAAAATAGTGGATGTCCAGATGACTTGTCTTTGCAATGTCAAATATCTGTCTGAAAAAATTCCAGTTTTTATCCGGTGGTTTGGTGTCACATGCAGAGAGGCAATGACTTAGCTCTCAGGTCTATTCACAGCTCTGTATGAGCGACACTGAGCTCTCAATGTGCCCTGTACCTCAGCCTCTGCTTCTAAGGTCAGCCCGACTGAAGGTCGTCAAGGACCTACCATGGCAGGAAAGAGCAAGAGGTGACAGCTGATCCGTAATTCTTGACCCAATGCATTTCTCCCGTTACCCAGATGGCATCACCTTGATTTTAAAACCAGCAACACTTGATGGAAGCTGAGTCAAATGCCCACCCATTAACTCCTCACCCTGCCCACTGCTGGGAAGTGTGGGAATGGAAACCAGGTGGAAATGTCTCTCTCTCTACAGAGAAGGTGTCTTATTGGTCTGAAGACCTGCCCTGGACAGGAAGAGGCCAGGAGAAGAGCCCAGACCCACACCCAGCACCATTCAAGGAGCATGTGAATGCTTGGCTGTAGGGAGTTATTGCGAAATGAATGGTGGAAGATGTGAGCTTAGAGCTCCAAAGATTTTTAAGCACAAACTCTTGAAAGGTTGCTATTTTTTACTCCTTTTTTTTGTATTTTATACTAGACATAAGAATAAACTTAAAAACTGCTGGCACCATGTAAGGTAGCCCTGCTTATCCAAAGCAATCAGGCTGCATTTTTGTACCATAGCTTATTATTCTCCCACATCCCCTATTTTCCCTCCTTCCTCCCATCATTCTTCGCTGCTTTCGGTTGCTTTCCAGTATAAAGTGAACATTGGAGTCTCTTCCTCACTGCCCCCAACTCCCGCCAATTTCTTTGACATTAAACTAGAAGGTGAGGGTGGAGGGATTGAGTGAGGGAACGACACACACTCAGCTCTTGTTCCTGGCGGACACTGCTGGGTCCTAGTTATACAGTTTCTGGCTGATTTTGGGGGGCCGCTCAAAGAAATCTTTGACTTAGGGCCTGGGATCATGTCCAGAGGCACATTTCTCCCTGCACTACAACGGCACCCTTGGGTGGGGTGCTAGAGGGCCCGCTGAATGATGTTAAATGCCTCAGGACCTGAGGTGGAGTACTGGACTCCACTGTGGATCAGTTTTTCAGCCTGCTGCTTTATCTACCTGACAGGAAGACTTGAACTAGTGCCATTTCTAAATTGCAATTCTAAATATTGACTTAATGGTGAGACTCAGCGTGTCACAACCCGGTTCACTAGAGCAATGAAGATTTTCCAGGCCTCACCGAGGGGTCTGTACAATATCCTATGGGGAGTGGAGAAGGAAGAGGAGGATTTAAGAAGAAAAATACAATCAAGTCATGTTTTGAAGAAATGCCCCTGCACCTCACTTAATCTTGCAGAGACACATGAGTGATCACTGGCTATTGGCTGAGGCTGGAGGGAACCAGGGTGAACAGAGAACGGATAGCAGTGACCAGAAATTCTGCAGCTGCCCCCCAGGAAGAACAGAGGGTGCCAGGGCACGCCTTGTGGGGCTGGCAGCAGAGACAGCTGGCTCTCTGAGAGCTTCATTTGAGTATCCAGTTCACGAGGACTGGACAGGGTCTGAGAGACTAGAGACTTTATATATGTGAAGACTTCCACACACACAGGCAGCTCTTTGGCGAATCTTCATTTAGGTCACTGAGGAAATGCTAGGAGGCTATCTTCATAGCTTCTCCATCCTGCCAGTTAACACTGTAACTGATCTTAAGGCATTTTGTCACATTCCATTAGCTGTTAAACTGTGAATCACAGGAAGGGACTGGTCCCTTCTTGTCCCGAAGGAGCTGTTTTGAAGGAGCAACAAGATATTTTTCATGCAAATTGGCTTTCAGATTTCTTTAGACACTCAGTGATATATAAATTTGTATTCTCCAAGAGGAGATAAAGGCCCGGCAGTGTGACTCATGCTTGCAATCCCAGCATTTTGGGAGGCTGAGGTGAGTGGATCACCTGAGGTCAGGAGTTCGAGACCAACCTGGCCAACATGGTGAAACCCTGTCTCTACTAAATATACAAAAATTAGCCAGGCGTGGTGGCACACGTCTGTAATCCCAGCCACTCCAGAGGCTGAGGCAGGAGAATCACTTGAACTCGGGAGGGAGAGGTTGCACCGAGCCAAGGTCATGCTGTTATACTCCAGCCTGGGCAGCAAGAGTGAAACTCAGTCAAAAAAAAGGAGATAAAGCATAATAATAAGCCTCTGTACTGCTGCAGAGAGCAGTGTGTGCAACGTGGCAACCACCCCTCAGTAGCAGCCCCTCCCTCTTTGCCATAGCACTGGCATCCTGGCTGTGGAAAAACCCTCTCGAGGAGATCTTATGTGAAGGGGGCTCGAGGGGTGTTGGCAGGGAGGTTTTGTGTGTGAGGGTGTGCTCTTCAAAGCAGGAAAAACTTGGCTGGGCGGGGTGGCTCATGCCTGTAATCCCAGCATTTTGGGAGGCCGAGGTGGGTAGATTGCCTGAGCTCAGGAGTTCACAACCAGCCTGGGTAACACGGTGAAACCCTGTCTCTACTAAAATACAAAAAATTAGCCGGGCATGGTGATGGGCACCTGCAGTCCCAATTACTCGGGAGGCTGAGAGGGGAGAAGTGCTTGAACCCGGGAGGCGGAGGTTGCAGTGAGCCCAGATGGCGCCACTGCACTCCAGCCTGGGCAACAGAATGAGAGTCCATCTCAAAAAAAAAAAAGCAGGAAAAACTTAAATTCCGGGAGAGAGAAAAAGAAGCCAAACTAACCAGATATCATGGGAGATGGCCCTCGCGGTATTGGCCACATTCATCCTGATGGTCCTTAGGTTTGTTTCCAGGTGGTCCCTAATGCGGTGCTCCCAGTCCGTTCCCTCTGCGATGCCTATGTATGTATTCGTTGATAATAATACCTCTGAGAATGGCCTCAAAGTGCAACACATGGCCTTTGTGTTTGACCTCATCACACTTACTAGACAAGCCAAACTTACCCTAGGTATGGCCCCTATAGCAAGCCTGATGAGCCTGGCCCGTGCACTGACTTGCTTCCTTCAGTCTAGTCCAGCTCCATGAATAGTGTCTCCTTGTAAGACAATGGAATCCTCCTAAACTCCTCCTTTGCTCCGAAGTGTCTTGTGTCAGCCGCAGTATCTACTACGGACAGAATCTCAGGTATCTTCTGAAGAAACTGTGATCAACCCCCTGGAAACTGTATCTGCTAGGAGAGCTGGCTATGTCTTAGTTGCTCTGCCCAGTTGTGAATTCCTGCTGCCTGCCCTGGCCTTCAGGAGCTCACCTGAGGCATGGTCACTGCTCTGCAGCAGCTTCTATGGCATTTGCTGTGCCACAGCCGGGTCATGGGCTGACTTCTGTGGTCTCCATGAAAGCGTGCTCCATGCTCCTCGGTGACACACACAGCATGGAGTGCCCAGTAGCTCCCACAGGCCTACCTCCAGCCAACATCCTCCAAACGCCTGCTGAAGGCCCACGCACTCCCTCTCCACTGCCCCTTCCCTGCAGACCGCACATCTCACAGCCCAGCACCCTCTTGCACACCCATCAGGCTGCTGCTGTCCTCAATCCAGACCAGAACGACCCCTCGGCCACTTCACCCCATCTCCTCCAGGCTGCTCTTCATTGAGACCTTCAGCTTTCTAGACCTCCCCTGGTATCTTCCTCCATAATAGCCATCAGCAGTGTGACACCATTGAGTATTAGGAAAGCACGTGTCTGTTGTCACGTGCGTGGGAAAGGTAAACTGCCCACCTACCTTAAGAATGAATCCTACCAATGGAAAGACAATGGTAAGCGGATTATGTTGTTATCACTGAATCTCCTCATCCTTAATGAAAGATGTTCAATGACCAAGTTGAGGGTATCTTAAGGACTTCTCACAGCAGCGAGGCAATTTGCACGACTGCTTACCTCACTGATCCAGGAGTCTTAACACAGAGGGACTTCATTTCATAGACCACCAAAAAATAGTGAATGCTTTCAATTCTCTTTTCAATATTGTGGAGGAGCTCAAAGATGTATAGAAACGGCGCACTAATTTTTTTTTTTTTTTTTGTAAATCAAATAAGTACTCTACAATTTCTCTCTTCTGTATATCCAAAATTTTGCACATGAAAAAAGCAAGCTATCCTGTGGTGTTTGCTAAGTCAAGAGAATCAGGAAACAGTATTGTGTCTGGTCTGAGGTTAGGGAGCTAAAAACACATTTTCAAAAAAATGTCCCTATATGACATATTTCTTAAATAAAGATCGTATTTTCCAAACCGCAGCTTGGTCTTCAAATGGTAACTTGACACTGACTGTCCTCGGAGACTCCGTGATGATTTGAGATTTGGAATGGACGCCCACACACTCACCTGGCCAGTAGTACATGTAGACCTTCCTTTTGGCCTTGATCAGAGTGACCCACAAAGGTTCGGATCCATTCCACCAGAGAGGCATCAGGCTGTCTTTGTTGACGCCAATGTCAAAGGACTTGTTGGTGTTGGGGTCCCACATGTAGTTCCCGATCATCTGATGGACTTCACAATGGCGGCCTGTGACAATGAGAACACAGCTATCAGTTTATGGTTCCGGTGGCTTCTATTTTTATCAGTGTTTCTTGATCATATAAGCCATTTGTGCTCATTTAGAAAGTACAGAACAGCATAACAATTTGCTTTTGACTTTAAAAAAAAATTAGATTTTTTTTTCTTAAGCTGTGCCATGAAGATAGGCAATCCACTAAGATGGATGTCCACTGATTGAGGAAGGGTGGGTCCATTTTGGGTGACGTCACCCTGTCAAGTCAGCTGTTTTAAGTTACAGTGACGACGCTGTATGTAGAGCTTGAAGTCTAAATATGAATCAGCATGGCCATCTGTGGATTCCTCTGAGACTTGGTCTAGGTTCTCAGCCCAGAGCCCTCCTTGCACCCCCCAACCCTCCTCCGACGAGATCAGGAATCTAGCTGTTACAGGGTTCTTTCTTTTCTTTCTTAGATAAAACCTATGACGTTTGGAACAGAATGGAGAAAAATAGGTTCAACTTTGAAAAACAAAGCAAGAAAACAACCCTCCTAATGCAGGTTATGTAGAAACGAGGGCTGGTTCTGCTGAGCACAACTTAGTCCCAGAAGACAAGCCAGAAGTCAGAGACGGTAACGCTTGGACTCTTTTGAAACATTAGGCTTAAATTATTTATTTTGGAGCAATCTGTTACATCTTTAAAGTAAAAATAACACAAACATTGGCAGGTGCATCAAACATTGCTGCAATTTTAGTGAGCGTCATCCAGCACCAGGATGAAACGTGCTTCAGTGAGCTCCCTAACTATGCTGAATCAAGTGGCGTTTCTTCCTTGTTTTGCTGTTGTGTGTCTTCTCCCCACCCCCTCCCCAAACTTTATTTTTAAACAAAAACAAAGAAAAATCATAAAATACTATTTGGAAAATTTGGACACTAAAAAATATCAAGTGGAAAAACCTTTCATTTCATCCCAGAAAGCAAGGCGTGCCACAAACTATGCTACTGTGCTCCCAGAGATCCCAGCAAAATGGTTTGGACCCAAAGCTGTAGAATTGGTGGTTTTCATCTTGACCAAAACCTTCACATTAAAAAGACTAAGAAAATTTAAAATAAAATAAAATTACGATGTTGAACAATTTCTGCCATGGTTAAGGAAGTTATTTTATTTATTGTTTCAACTAACATTTATTTAGTGCTCTTATACATGCAGTCCTATGTATTGTAGGCTGTGATAGGTGTAGAGATTCCAATCTGAATAAATGCTGTGCCCATTCTCAAGTGGCTTGTAATTTAATCCTCAACAGAGGATCCTCTGTGTAAAGGAGCCAGACTTCCCGGGGCTGGGTCTAAGAAGGTGGCCAGGTTGCAGCCACAACTTCAGAATTATGATGACCCTCGCTCACCCTGATCCACAGGAAGACTCCTGGTATGTTCTCACCAACTCATTAAAAGTATGGCCCTAATTTTATTGGTTCGACTATATTATCTCTTTTAGTATATGAAAGCTTAATAGTACTAAGAAAGCCCCTCTTATGAGTAAATGTTCTTATGTATTTCCTTCATTCAAAATTATGCATTCTGTATCACAAATTTGTATCATCCTAATGATGCTTTACTCATCCTTTCACAAGGCAAGATAATCATGGTTATATCCGCAGGAAAAGGCCTCCTTCAGGGACAGTCTCCTTCTCCAGATGCTCTCTGACACCCTCCCAAGTGCAGGAGGCTATCCTAACTGCAGCGGGTGTGCGAAGAAGCTGAGCAAGTGTGCAGAAGCAGAAGGGGGCGTGGGAAGGTTCCTGAGGTCAGGAACCAAAGAAGAGCCTCTGAATGAATCACCAGGAAAGGACCAGGGATATCAGCCCTGGGAATAATAGGAAGAGATGCTGAGTGAGAGGGGTGGAGGCATCTCTGCTTCCAAGTTTGAATTGTTCAGGTCATTTCAAAACAAGTGCATGAAACCCAAAGTGGAGGCTTCACGTGATGTGGCTTTCATACAAGGAAGCATGAAGCAACCAAAAACAATTTTTAAAGTATGTATAATCTATGCTTGTATGTCTCAGAAACCCCATGATATCCTTTGGTGAAATTTCTGTCTTCTCTTCAACACTCATATTTAGCACTCTGGACCCGACAGTGTCCACCTCTTTCATTCTTTGTTCTCTGCTCTCTGTGTAGAAAATTATAAGGAGCCTCTTTTGGATTTCAGAGCTGTTGTATGACTGCATTGTGTGTCCACACACATGCACAGGTGTGAGAGAGACAGAGGCACAGAAGGAGACAGAGACAGAGAGAGATAGAACATTCTCCCAGAGGATTCCTGTAAGGTGGAGCACTTTCAAGAAGGTCACTTCAGACTCCTGTGGAGAAAGCTGGGTTTCTTTTTTTGGTGGGTCGGGCCCTGAGCTAAGATGGGAGGGTGTGCTGTCCCCAGGGCTCTCTCCCGGAAGGGAAGAGCGGCCTTTCCCGGAAGCCGGAAGCCAGCAGGAGGAGGCTGCTTGGGATCTCCTGCCTTCCCATGAATACAGTAAGGCTGCAGTCTGTGCTTGCAACAGCCGAAGTCGGCTCAGAATCAAGCTGATTTCCCTCTGCCTCTCTTGCTGTTTCATTTTTATTGCCTGGGTAAAAGTGTGGCTGAAAGAACAGAACAGAACAGAACACAATGTACTGGCTTCTGCAGCCCACGAGTTCTCATCTCCATCTTCCTGCCTGACCCATATCTATTTTTATACATCTGCAGCTCTGGGTTTTTCTCTGGCTGGACTTTCCAAACAGAGCTTTGCTGTGGTTTGGTTTTTTTGGTCTCTTTGCTCAAGTTTGAGTAGAAACGTTCCTGACATCCTCCAACACCACAATTGCAGGTGGTTTTCAGGTCCAGTGTAAGGAATGTCTACTGCTCTTCCTCCTCCAAATGACAACTCCGAGGGCTTTGAAATCCGTGTTTGCCTTTCTCAGAGACAGCTCCTGGAATCGTTCCCACAGCTAGAACTGCTGTGTGAAGGGGATGGGATAGACGCCTTCAGTGTTCATTCCGCAGAGTCTTACTAAGGTGTGCTCAGTCGTAATCACCATCACAAGAAGTTTCTTAGCAAGCCCCCAGAAACCTCTGCACCATGTTGTATGTTTCATCACGGAAATGGCTGGCCTTCACTTCACACGAGAAGGTAGAGGATCTGTCCATCTTATCTATAACTAATGGTCACTTTGACCTCTGAGTCCTCTGCTCAGCTACACCCAAACTTGAGCTTCGCTCCTTGTTCTTGTAGCGTCCAGGTTGAGCAAAATTCCTGCTAAGTAAGTTTAGTGAAAACCCTCCACGCTTGGTATGTGACCACCCTCAATATCTGCCTGGCTTCAGCAAAAGTTCTGTTGAGTAGATGTAGCCAGAATTCCATTTCCCCGATGTTTCTTCTTAGTAGTTTTCCATCCGCTGACCCCCAACCATGTTTCTTGTCTGTCAATCTGTACTTGTCTGTTGTACATGGAGTGGAGCCCAATCTCCCTCCCACTGCTGGATCCCATTGCAGCGTTGTTTCATCTATCACAATGGTCCCTCCTTACAGTTTGACTTACCATCTTTAACAAGCATCATAAATAAGTCTTTCCTTCCTTCCCTCCTTTCCTCCTTCCTCCCTCCCTCCCTCCCTCCCTTTCTGTTTCTTTCTTTCCTTCCTTCCTTCCTTTCTTTCTCTTTCTTTTTCCTTCTTTCCTTCCTTCCTTTCTTCCTTTCTTCCTTCCTCCCTCTCTCCCTCCCCCCATCTCACTTTGTCACCCAGGCTGGAGTGCAGTGGCATAATCATGGCTCACTGCAACCTTGACCTCCCCAGGTTCAAGCAATCCTCCTGACTCAGCCTCCCAAGTAGCTAGGACAACAGGCATATGCCATCAAGTCTTGACTAATTTTTTTTTGTCTGTATTTTTTTGTAGAGACAGGGTTTTGTCATGTTGCCTAGGCTGGTCTCAAACTCCTGGGCTCAGTATCCAGTTGCCTCAGTATCGCAAAGTGCTGGGATTACAGGCATGAGACACTGTGCCCAGCCAAGTTTCTCTTTCACAGTGGACATCTATAAGGTTGCTCCTACTTAGATTTCAATCAGCCTTAATTTTTTCTCATTGTTTTCAAACGGTCAATGTCAATTGCTTTTATAGTTCCTTCTTTTATTCTTTTTACATTCACTCAACAGGTATCAGATAATGCTTATATACTACGTATATAAAGATAAAAAAAAAAAGAAATGGTATCTGTCTTTGGCTCACAGCCTGCTATGACAATAGTATGGCACAGTGGTTAAGGGAACGAATCTTGGAGTCAGACTGCATAGGTTCAAGTACAAACTCTACTATTTACTGTCTGCATGACCTTGGACACATAGCTTAGACTCTCTGAAGCCTCAGTGTCCTCGTCTGAGTAATGGGCATTGTAACAATTGTTGTGGACAGTCATCCCTTTGCTTGGCAGTGTGGGGCCATAAAAATGGCTGTGCAAGTCAAAGCCATAAAAAGCTATCTTAATAATCAGTGTGTGTGGCGGGCGGTGGAATAGGATTGTTTTGTGACATTTGAAAATGTTGGTCAAAATACTGAAAGTTCTCCCACTGTCAGTTACACAGGAAAATGAAGGAAAAATTGTGCAATTATAATTTACTAGTATTTTATAATTTACAATATTGGAAACATTGAGAATTGAAGGGCCCTATTTCTTTGTGAGAAATTTATGAAAAATGCTTAGGACAGTGCTTGGCTGCTTCTTCTAGAGGTATAACAAAATGTGAGTGAACACCTGTTTTATGCCTTAGGGAATTGTTATCTTCGTTCTAAGATTAGATCGGCTTCCAACATCTTATCCTTTGTGCTTTCAGTCATAAAGTATCTCGGGGAGTTCTTTAATGTGACGTTTTTGCTGGTGTCCCTTCCTCTGGGACATCTTTATCCTTTTTGTCACAACTTTTTTCTTCATTTGTGTAAATAAATTCACCATCACTAAGGTCCTTGGGCTGCATATCTAGGGCTTTGTAAATGATGTCAGTGTC